ACTGGAAAAAAATTTAATTAGGAACTCATTGTCTTTCAATTGAGTTTATATAATTGAGATTGATTCATATAAAGGGGTATCAAAACTTTGTTTTGAACAAATTTGTGGAAGCAAGGTATTATTAAACACTTGGTTAAAAGAGTAATCGTTTAGTTCTTTCTAAAAACAAAATTTTGTTATTATTTAGATCTTATGAAAATAAAAAATATATAAGCAAACTTCTTCTTTTCCCAAAAATATAAGTGGTTAGGGAATAGAGTTTAGAGAAATCTTATTCACGTATCAAATGAGAGGGGGAAAAAAGACAACCTTTATTTTTTCTGGTTTCTGTGTCTGATTACTTTTGAATTTAACCCACACAATGCTAGGCCATGGAACAATGCTTCCAAGGGCTTTCTGGAGCATTATGAAGTGGGAGACCACCTGAATTCATGGATTTATTCCTTCCTCAGGTATTTATTGACGATCTGTTGTCCCTCGTGCACTGTTCTTGGCATTGGGGATAAAGTGAGAGCAAAATGGATTGAAAGGAGGAGAGTATTCAGTGAATTTAGTGATGGAATGTCTTCTATCGTTCCTTTGAACAACACAGGCTGTTCTGAGGCCTCATCAGATACTTAAGCCACCTCCAGAACCTCCTTGGGGTTTTCTGTCATCTCCTGTGACATATCTTGTTTGTAGTACTGGGTCAGCCAAGGACAGATGCCATGTACCTTGCTGGATTAATCACTTCTCCAATTCAGTGGTTCATATCATCAAAGCTTTAAGAGGAGGCTCTAATAGGTACCAACTAGAATTACTAGAAATATTTACTTAGGTTGCCTCTGTCTCTGATTCTAAGTGAATCAGTGGAGCATATGATTGATTTTATGATTGAAAATTAGTCCGTTTCCATGTGACACTATTCAGGTATTATCTCATTATCATAGGCCCAGTACAGCCATCCTTTGCCAATTTTCTTTTTAAAATTTTCTTTTTAATTTTTTAAAATTTTTTATTATTGGTTGTTCAAAACATTACTAAGCTCTTGACATATCATATTTCATACATTTGATTCAAGTGGGTTATGAACTCTCAATTTCCCCCCATACATAGATTGCAGAATCACATCGGTTACACATCCACGTTTTTACATATTGCCATACTAGTGTCTGTTGTATTCTGCTGCCTTTCCTATCCTCTACTATCCCCCCTCCCCTCCCCTCCC